ATCTCTACGGATGGCTCTAGACTTGGGATCTCTACGGATGGCTCTAGACTTGGCATCTCTATGGATGGCTCTAGACTTGGGATCTCTACGGATGGTTCTAGACTTGGCATCTCTATGGATAGTTCTAGACTTGGCACCTCTATCGATGGTTCTAGACTTGGCACCTCTATGGAGGGTTCTAGACTTGGCACCTCTATGGAGGGTTCTAGACTTGATACCTCTATCAATGGTTCCAGACTTGGCATCTCTATGGACGGCTCTAGACTTGACATCTCTATGGAGAATTCTAGACTTGGTACTGCTATCAATGGTTCTAGACTTGATACTTCTATCGATGGTTCTAGACTTAGCACCTCTATGGAGGGTTCTAGACTTGATACCTGTATCAAGGGTTCTAGACATAGCTAATCTATGGATGGCTCTAGACTTGGCATCTCTATGGATGGCTCTAGACTTGACATCTGTATGGAGGGTTCTAGACTTGACATCTCTCTTGATGGTTCTAGACTTGATATCTCTATGGAGGATTCTAGACTTGATACCTCTATTGATGGTTCTAAAGTTGATACCTCTACGGATGGCTCTAGACTTGGCATCTCTCTTATTTATTTATTTATTTATTTCTTAACGTTCTCATGCTCTTTTTTATTCTTTCTAATTTGCCCTTATTTCTTTTACATGTATTTATTTCTTAACTTTCTCACACTCTTTTTGTTTTTCTTCTTCTACTTTGCTTTTACTTCTTTTACGTTTTTTCATTTCTTAACTTTGTGCGCTCACTTTTTTCTTTCTTCCTTTTTTTCTTTTTCGTGAAAACCGGGTGTCTGGGCGCACTCCCTTCCCGGGGGCCGCGGTCTCGCCCGGCCCAGGCTCTCAACGGGGACACGGGCCAAACCCATTCGCCGTAAGACAACGCCCGGCACCCCGGACTATTCCTTCTGAGGGCGACGGCCTCGTGGGGGTCTGTCTACACTGGGGACCGCTTGGATAACCCGTGCAACTACCCTCGCTGAGCCCGGGGGCCGCGTGGGGGTCTGTCTACACTGGGGACGGCCTGACTCAACCTGTTCGCGCTCGAGAGAAGAGGAAGACTGGGGGATGAGGGGGGTGTCTAAGGGGTAGGGGTTGGGGTTATGGTTAGGGGTTAGGGTTAGGGGTTATGGTTAGGGTGAGGGTGAGGGTTTAGGGTAAGGGTGAGGGTGAGGGTTTAGGGTTAGGGTTAAGTTTAGGGTTTAGGTTGAAGGTTAGGGTTTAGGGTTAGGGTTAGGGTTTATGGTGAGGGTTTATGGTTAGGGTTAGGGTTAGTTCTAGGGTTTAGGGTTACGGTTAGGTTTAGGGTTTAGGTTTTAGGGTTAGGGTTAAGGTTAAGGTTGGAGTTAGGGTTCAGGTTTGTGTAGAGTTAAGGTTCGGTTAGGGTTTAGGTTTAGGTTTAGGGTAGGGACCCTAGGGTGGCAACCCCCGTTGCGTGGCTTACCGGGGGAAAAGAGAACTATAGCTTTAATGTTAGGGTTAGGGTTAGGGTTTAGGGTGAGGGTTTAGGGTTAGGGTTTAGGGTTAAGGGTTATTGTTATGGTTAGGGTGAGGATTAGGGTTTAGGGAAAGTGTGAGGGTGAGGGTTTAGGGTTACGGTTAGGGTTTAGGGTTCGGGGTTATAGTTAGGGTGAGGGTTAGGGTTTTGGGTAAGGGTGAGCGTGAGGGGTTAGGGTTAGGGTTAAGTTTAGGGATTAGGTTGAAGGTTAGGGTTTAGGGTTAGTGTTAGCGTTTATGGTGAGGGTTTAGGGTTAGGGTTACGGTTATTGTTAGTGTTAGGGTTTAGGGTTAGGGTGTGGGTTTAGGGTTAAGGTTAGGGTTAGGGTTTAGGTTTTAGGGTCAGGGTTAAGGTTAGGGTTAGGGTTAGGGTTAGGGTTAGGGTTAGGGTTAGTGACCCTAGGTTAGGGTTAGGGTTTGGGTTTGTGTTAGAGTTAAGGTTAGGGTTAGGGTTAGGGTTTAGGTTTAGGGTTAGTGACCCTAGGTTACCAACCCCCGCTGCGTCGCTTACCGAGGTAAAAGAGAACTATAGCTTTAAGGTCAGGATTAGGGTTAGGGTTAGGGTTTGGGTTTAGGTTTAGGGTTAGGGTTCGGGTTTAGTGTTAAGGTTAGGGTTCAGGTTAGGGTTGGGGTTTGGGTATGGGTTGGGGTTAGGATTAGGGGTGTGTTAGGGATTAGGATTAGGGTTTGGGTTTAGGGTTAAGGTTCGGGTTAGGTTTATGGTTTGGGTTTTGGGTTAGGGGTACGGTTTAGGTTTAGGGTTCGGGTTTAGTGTTAGGGTTATGGTTAGTGTTCGTGACCTTAGGGTTAGGGTTAAGGTTAGGGTTAAGGGTTAGGGTTCGGGTTTAGGGTTAAGGTTCAGGTTAGGTTTATGGTTCGGGTTTTGGGTTAAGGTTTGGGTTAGGGTTACGGTTTACGGTTAGGGTTCGGGTTTAGTGTTAGGGTTATGGTTAGGGTTCTGGACCTTAGGGTTAGGGTTAAGGTTAGGGTTTGGGACCTTAGCGTTGCGACCTCCGCCTCATGGCTTACCAGGGATTAAGGGAATTATAGTTTTCAGGATTGGGTTAAGATTAGGGTTTAGGGTTAGGGTTAGGGTTAATTTTAGGGTTAGTGTTAGTGTTAGGGTTAGGGTTTGGCTCGGGACCCTCGGGTTAGGGTTAGGGTTAGGGTTAGGGTTAGGGTTAGGGTTCGGGTTTAGCGTTAGGGTTTAGTTTTAGAGTTAGAGTTAGGATTCGCGTCGGGACACTAGGGTCACGATCCCTGCCGCGTGGCTTATTGGGCTAAAGAGAACTTTAGCTTTAAGGTTAGGGTTTAGGGTTAGGGTTAGGTGTTAGGGTTAAGGTTCGGGTTTAGTGTTAGGGTTAGGGTTAGGTTTTAGGGTTAAGGTTCGGGTTTAGTGTTAGGGTTAGGATTTGGGTCGGGACTGTAGGGTTTCGACTCCTGCACTGTGGCTTACCGGGGCTAAAGAGAACTTTAGCTTTAAGGTTAGGGTTAGGGTTTAGGGTTTAGGGTTAAGGTTCGGGTTCAGGTTAGGGTTTGGGTTAGGGTTAGGGTTAGGATTTGGGTCGGGACAGTAGGGTCGTGACCCCCGCACCGTGGCTTACCGGGGCTAAAGAGAACTGTAGTTTTAAGGTTAGGGATCAGAGTTAGGGTTTAGGGTTATGGATTAGGGTTCGGGTTTAGGGTTAGGGTTAAGATTCGGGTTCGGGTTTAGGGTTAGGATTCGGGTGGGGACACTAGGGTCGCGACCCCTTCCGCGTGGCTTATGGGGCTAAGGAGAACTTTAGCTTTAAGATTAGGGTTAGGGTTAAGGTTAAGGTTTAGGGTTTAGGGTTAAGTTTCGGGTCCAGGTTAGGGTTCGAGTTTAGTGTTAGGGTTAGGATTCGGGTCGGGACAGTAGGATCGCGACCCACGCACTGTGGCTTACCGGGGCTAAAGAGAACTATAGCTTTAAGGTTAGGGTTTAGGGTTATCGTTCGGGTCAGGGTTTAGGGTTAGGGTTTGGGTTTAGGGTTATGGGTAGGGTTTGGGTTTAAGGTTAAGGTTTAGGGTTAGGGTTTAGGGTTAGGGTTTAGGGTTTGGGTTTAGGGTTTAGGGTTATGGTTAGGGTTTGGGTTTAGGGTTAGGGTTTGGGTTTAGTGTTATGGTTAGGGTTTGGGTTTAGGGTTAAGGTTCGGGTTAGGGTTAGGGTTCGGGTTAGGTTCAGGTTTAGTTTAGGGTTAGTGTTTAGGGTTAAGGTTCGGGCTTAGTTTAGGGTTAGGGTTAGGGTTAGTTATTAGGGTTTAGGGTTAAGGTTCGGGTTTAGTTTAGGGTTAGTGTTTAGGGTTTAGGGTTAAGGTTCGGGTTAGGGTTAGGTTCGGGTTTAGTACAGGGTTAGGATTCGGGTCGGGACCCTAGGGTCGCGACCCCCGCCGCGTGGCTTACCGGGGCTAAAGAGAACTATAGCTTTAAGGTATGCGTACTCGTAGCCGTCTATGTCCAGCTTGGACATGCTGTTGCAGAACTCCTGCAGCTTCCAGATGTGCTCCATCACCTGCTTGATCCGCTCGCCCGACAGCTTGTCTGCAGAGACACCCGCCCCGGAGGCCCCGCCTGAGGGAGGCTGCGGAGGCCCAACGGGGAGGCCAGCCTCGCTCTCCTCCTTTTTTTTTTTTTTTGAAATTAGACAGAGTCTCGCTCCGAGGCCTGAGCTAGGGTGCCATGGCGTAACCCAGGATAACCTCACGTTCTCCGCTAGCGGCTTTCCGTTTCAGGCTTT